CTAAGTTTATTTACTTAACAAGTATCTTACATGTAGCACAATTGAATATAGTTCAATTTAATTGAACTGAGACTATTTTATCATATAATATTTAAAAAATATCAAATCTAAAACTTTTGAAGGAGACAACGTTTGATCGTAATGATTACTTTGAATTTTTTAAAAAAATATATTTTAATAATTTTCAAATACTAATAAATTTCAATGATCATAATCGAGAGACTAATTGAGTGATTAAATTTAGATCACTTGCCAAATTTAAAACCATAAATTTGCCAAGCCAAGATGGTTCGGCAGTGGAAAATTTTAAACCCCAGCAAAGGCGCAAAATATTGCTCCCTTCTTTTTCAAGCATAAAAAAAATGAACTAATTTATACAATCTAAGAAGTTAGTTAAGTATAATAATTGCATTTGAAATTAAAAAATATAGAGTAAATTATCATTATTAATAAAACATTTATTTAGTGAAAATAAATATTGACTTTATAAGAGACAATTAAAAAAATGTAATAAATGGTTCTTGAAATTTATAGTTTTACTTATAAACATAAACAAAAAGATACATGTCGGTAATTTCTCTTATATTAAAAAACTGGGGGAGTATTTCAAACCTAAATGTAATAACCAGACAATTGATTCACACAAATTAAAACGAATTAGTTAAATTAGTTATTAATAAAAAAATGTGTATTGTTTTCTTAAAATACCCCATATTAATTATTTATATTGAAATTAACCCTTACTAATTGTACATTAAAGTATCACGTTCATTTACCGATAGTTCGAAGAAAATAAAAAACAAAGAAGGCGAAGGATATCGAAATCTTATATATTTAATATCAAATAAGCTCTTTCAACTCTTATATTCAAAATTGAATGGAGAAAAACTTAAAGTTAGTTACTCAAGTTTTCAGGAACATAGATATATACTCTAACTCTATTTATAGGGTAGAAAGAAATTTTTTTAATTTTATTTATAAATCACGCTATTAAATTTTTATAATAAATTATCTTTTTTACCTTCATTAAATATTTGAGAGAGAAAACATATTAATAAAGTATGCATATTTAATAGAAGCAAAATTAAAAACTTATTAAATTTTAAAATAAAGTTAATAAATTTTAAAATTTAATAATGATAAAACATGTTAAAAGTAACTTATAAATAATACTAAAAGAATATAAAATACTAAAACTCGTGCCACAAATTTTTTATAATTGTCTCTACATCGAGTTTGGATTGGTCCCTTCCACAATACGGCTCCGCCTGGATAATGATAGCATATATTCATATACCTACACTCAACTTCAAATGATAGTTCGAAGGGTCTAAAAAAGAAATTGAAACCCTACCACCTCCGCCAGACGTAACGTGGATTCATTACTCAGTTCCCGACATGGAATAGCTGCTTTTCTCAAACTCATTACCGGGTTTCAAGATATAATCTGCCTTTCGTTCAAATAATTGAAAAAGATAAAACTCGATCGAGAAATTGAATCCGAATGTGAAAAATGCCCGCCGAAAAAATAAAAAGGGCAAGAGAGAGAAATAAAAGACAATCCCGAAATACTGCCAGTGTTAACGTCAACCCAACAATAGAGGGCCCCGCAAGTAAATGTAACACATAAAGCGCATGTGAGGAGCAAAGATAACAAAGGGACACAATGAAGAGGGAGAGACAATAGACACTAGACACGTAATAATTAGGACCACCTCTTCTTCCTCCTACTTGCTCAGAGAGAGGGAAAGAACAGTGGAATTTAAGAAATATCGGCCCACACCTCAATAAAGTTTGTAAACGAGGTCGACAGTTTATAGTTACACAGTAACCTTATTAAGCAAACCTTGAAATTTTTGAACACAAAAACATACACCTTCCTTTTATATCCTATTCCTCTCCTATTGGAGGGTTGTTGGTTAACAATGTCGTAACAAACGCCAGAATGCCCTGTAGACCCAAATGCTTGCTTGGTCTTGTCAAAACTATCTACCAATTCATATCACTTCTCTTACTTTCCAACTCTCATTAATTAAGAATGTAACCCAGCCCCTAGAAATATCACGTCACTGCTCACCAAGTCTTTGGAGCGGCTCATCCACCCGTGCTTCGGTCTGAACACAAGGACCACTAGTGGGTCGATGTTATTTCTTATCCATTGAATTTCGCTTTGATTAGGCACATAACGTTCAGGTCTAGTTGGTCAAGGTTGATCCGTAACTGGATGTGATTGTAAGAGAAGAAAGGTCAGAGTTACCAGGCAATCTCCCCAGTCAGATCCGTAACTGGATGTGATTGTTACACATTTTATGCCTAACACAATCTCCCCAGTTCTCCCGCTTCATCCAATTTAGCCTTCTATGCATAGATCACTCTGTCTGGAATAGAGGTTTTGAATAGTCCAAGTTACTTCAAGAGACCCCATTCTTAAAGATTATTATCATTACTTTTGGGTAGAATTCGATCTTAAGAGTTATCCTATTTGCATTGTTGTTCTATAGGATAAAATAAACTCGTCACGAACAAGAAAAGGAGGACAAAAGATACAAAGTTAAAGCAAGTATAACTCAAATGATATACCAAATTTACCTTTTCACTTTACATGATCGATCACTAACTTTATCCTGCGGCAGTCATTAGCACATTATATACATCCATGCTTTTTTTTTTTTTTTTGGTTGGTCGCAGATATATATCCATGCTTTTACTATTCAAAGTTTCAGTTCTTGTTAAGGAGGGGAGGGCGTTGCACCTTTTAGCGTTCTGATTTATTCAAATCCAAACATGCTTTTGTTCTTTGCAATAACTATTAATGCTCGACAATTACAACTCATTGACACAAACTTATAGTGTTAGTTTTACAGTAGAAATAATGCCTGCTAAAAAGTTATTCAACCACTCACGTTCATCGCCAATCAATTCCAAAGCACTATCACAAATAATAACATCAAGAATTTTAAAACACATTTATATAAACAAATAAACTTTTCACGCCGCTGTCTTGTTTTAAGAATTTCACACCCTTTGCTTTCTTGCAAAGGGTATAGCCTTCCCTTTATTTTTTCTTCCAGATATTTGAAATTAATTGACAGTTATAAATTGAAGTAATTAGAAGCAACACCAAGTTGCAACCAGAAATTTTAAAATCATATGTTCCTTTCATTGAGGTAAAATAATCTTTGGAATTAAGGCATCCTTGCAGCATCCATGATTTCAATTATCAGGTAATGAATTAATTATACTTAATTTTGAGATTTAGAAGGGAAATTTAAGGCTTAGAATCTATTAAGGGCATCAATTGAGGTTTAGAAAACTTTGAAATGAGAAAAATATTTAGAAAAAAAAATGGGGGAGAATTGGGCATGTCCGTCCATAGACATGGACCCAAAGGGTGTGTTCGTACGCAGACATCACCAGAGGGGAGTCTAAGCCTTGACTAGCATTCGACGCCGGACGCAAGGAAGGCCGTATTTGGTCGCAGACAATAACAGAGAGGGAAGAGGCCATCCTCAGGCTACAGCCGATCGCACACGTGGCACATTATGTCTATGTCCATCTACAGATGACATCTATCGTCGAACACAAAATGAGCGCATGCATTTGATCCCAGATGTTATTACAACCCAAATTATAGATAGGGGAAGCTAGCCTAAACAAACAGAGAGATTGCTAAAAATTGCAAGGAAAGCAATATAAAAAAAAAATGAAGACAAGAAGGCTCTAGATAATGGTATATATATAATCTTAGTCAATTCAAAGTTCAAACCACATAAGATAGATATAATTTCGGGTATAAAAAACAATGAACACCGATCGTCAGTTCAAAATTAACATGCACTATATGTCAGAAAAGCGAAACCCCTCAACAACTCGTACATAATTTCCAGCAGAAGTCAGAAGATTCATGATTAGATTATCAAACCCATCAATTTAAACACAAAAGCGGCACAACAAAATCCAATTAGAGCAAGATTGAAAAAAAATTAAAACAGAAAAAAAGAATGAAATGCTAACCCAACTCCTAATAATTAAGTGTTTTCTCTTGAGCCAATTCTATTGTCTCCAATCGTTTGTTGATAATGAAGACGGAAAAAGGAGATGTCCCCAACAAATTGGTCCTTTTATTATTTTGCAGAAAATTTCAAAAATCTTTAACAACAACAAAGAGAAGAGAGGGATGAAGGAGCAGTCATAAAAAAAATATCAGGGAGCAGATCACATCAAGGAAGTTACTAAGAGGTGGATGTTTTAACTACCAAGAATTGTTATGGGCTGCCTGATAATAGAAGAGAATTCCCTTGTGCATGAATAAAAAGTTCATCATTGACTCAAATGATCATTTCCTCATATCAAAAGAACCCCCACCCTCTGCCTTCTATACATTTTATCAAAACCACAACAAACATAATTTTGATTGATAAGGCAGGATCTCCTTTCACACAACTTATGGTCAATTTCAGCACAACATTTTGTATGGAGCTAATAGCAATTCACATTCACCTCCCCGCAAGAATTTTCATTAAAACCTCAAAAGACATTATTTAATATGACAAGGCGGGATCTCCCTTCACATCCCTCAAGGTCAAATTCAGCTTGATATTTTGTATGGAGCTAATAGCCATTCACATTCAAATCTCCACGAGAATTAAATCATTCAATACAAAAAATAAAAAATGAAATAAAATAACAAGCGAGGACGACTAAATCTCCACAACAATTATAACTATAGACATATGCCATGAAATTTTCATAAGTTATTAACTTTGTATCACATTCACACCACACGAAACAAGAATCACTCAATATAAACAGCACAAAGAAGCAAGGACAAGGTCTAATACTCCAGTAAAAATATAAAAAATTTGCCATGAATATTTGACCAAATAATAAGTCCAAAAGCATTGAAGGTGAAACCACAAAATCATAAACTAATGCATCCTTGGAGAATGAGATGCACTGTATCGATAGGAGATAATGAGGTCTCTTGAAAGCTTTGGAAATCATAATAAGGGAATGCACAAAGCTATTTATTTCATAAGCCATCCAAGAAGTGCTAGAGGCAAGCTGCTAATTTGTGAGATTTCCCTAAAGTAGGAATAATCGGTTCATCAACTACTTGAACGCCATTTCCTCAAGTCATAACAACATTCACCCTCTACAATCCATACATTTCATCATAGATAAGATGAGAAATTCCATCAAACCACTCAGTCCATTTCAGCCAAACATTTTGTATGGAGCTAAAGCAATTTACATTCATCTGTCCCCAAGAATTAAATCACTCGATAAGAACAACAATAACAAATGAGGATGAGGTGTAAATCTAAAGAAAAATTAAAGATAGTATTGGATGAAATTTTTGTAGGATGAGTTCTAAATCTTAAACTATAACATCCTCCAAGGTAGTGATACGTTGCTTAGATAGGAGAGGATGAGGTCTCTTGACAGTTTTAGAAATGACAATAAAGCAATGCACAGAGCTTGATGGTACATGACCAATCCAAGAACTGCTATGGACCATCCAGTAATCCATGAGAAATCCCAAGAGTAAAAACAATTGGCTCGTCACCTGTTCGAATTGCCATTTCCTCATGTCACAAGAACCCTCACCCTCCACCCTCTAATCATATCATCAAAACCCAAAAGAAGTCAATCGCATAGATAAGACTGGATCTCCCTTCACACCCTTGAGGTCTATTTCAGCCAGACATTTTGTTTGGAACTACTCCACAAGAATTAAATCAATCTATAGGAATAACATCGAAAAGTGAGGATAAGGCAAAAATCTCAAGAAAAACAATAGATAGTATACCATGAATTTTTAGAAGTTTTCAACACAGTATCGCATTCACTCCACACAAAACATGAATCATTCAATTTAAATAAAAAAGCAAACCAAGAATGAGAATGTAGATTGTGAGCATGGAAGGTGAAACCGCCAAATCTTAAACCATGGCATCCTCCAGGGTAGTAATGTGTTGCTTAGATAGGAGAGGACAAGATCTCTTGACAGTTTTAGAAATAACAACAAAGGAATGCACAGAGCTCGATAGTGCATACTGCATAAGCAATCCAAGAATTGCTATAGACCACCTGATAATCTGTGAGAAATTCCTTGAGTAGAAACAATTGGTTTGTCAACTCCTCAAGTCGTCATTTCCTCATGTCACAAGAACCCTCACCCTCCACCTTCTATACATTTCAACAAAACCCCAAAAGACATTTTTTGCAAAGAATGGACAGGATCTCCCTTCACACCACTCAAGGTCCATTTCAACAATATATTTTGTTTAGAACTACTCCATGAGAATTAAATCACTCAACAAGAATAATTTTAAAAAGTGACGTTGAGGCACAAATCTCAAGAAAAACTATAGACAACATGCTATGAAATTTTCATAACTTGACGCCGGTATCACTTTTGCTTTTCACAAATCATGATCATTCAATTTAAACAACAATGTAAAGAAGCAAGAATGAGGTCAAAGACTCCATTAAAACTTTACGAAATTTACCAAATAAATTTTACATAATGAGAAGACCGCGAGCATGGAAGGTGAAACTGCTTAGCATCCTCCATTGGAGAGGAGGAGGACTCTTGACAATTTTAGAAATGACAATTAAGGAACACAGCGAGCTTGATAGTGTATGAGCAATAGACAACTTGCTTTGGAATATTAAATACGATGTTGGTGAAATATTAAAAATTTCAGCAACAAACCATAAATGTGTCTATTTTTTTAAGTTAAGGCTTACATATCAGAGATATTATAAGACCAAACCCCTACATGAGAACATATTAGGATGAGAATATCTATTACAACATCCAAGCATATGACTCACAAGACAACTGATGTATATTATTGACTCACCCAAGCTATGCCCACCAAATGAATAAGGAAAAGCAAGTCAACAGCAATAATATGATGAGATATCATTACTGAAGATCACTTCAACCTGGTGCAAAATACAATAAAGAATCATCTTCAAAATGATAGGTGCATCTAAAGGGATAAAATTTACCCTATATGCGCAACTGCTCATTGTTTAAGTCTCTTTTGTTGAGTCCAAGAATATTCTGTTCAATATGTCAAGTAAGAGATGAACGTGTACTATAAATAAGTCCCAAAAGATGTGACCTTATCATGAATGAGGTCCCAATCAAGACAACAACAATAACATGATAAGACATCATCACTGACTACTATTTAAACTTGGTGCAAAATACACCAAAGAATTATCTTCAAGATGATAGATACATGTAATGGCATAGAATTTACCCTATATGAGCAACTGCCCACTGTCTAAGTCTCTTTCGTTGAGTCCAAGAATATTTTGTTCAACATGTCAAGTAAGAAATGAGATTTGATAACGTGATGCACTTGAGGCAGCAAAATAGGATGTTACCATGAAAAAGTTCACTAACAAAACACTTAGATGGTTTCAATTCATCATATGACTATTTATGACCCTAACATTTGGATACACACTTCAACACTAATGCAGGAATAATCTTTGTAATGTCATCATCTTGCAGAAGCCTCATGTAACTTACTACAAACTATGACATAGCCAACTAGGCATTTGATTTTCATTTGCACAGTTAAAGCCTAGAACATGAAGGACTAGAAAGCAAACAAAAATTTATTAACATAGTCCATTGTCATGCCAAGATAATATGGCCTCACATGATTAATGCAAATAAACAGGAAACGTCTGAACTCTAGTACAAAAATTCTGATTTTCTTGAAAATCGATGCAATCATGGCTTATAAAGACAGCCGGAAGAGAAATTGGACGAAAAACCATAATGACAATTCTTAGAGCCAGACCATACACAAACAAATAACCAAAAGAAAAACTGCTATGAGAAAATAACAAGGACCTATATCTCTCCTATGACTCAACTGAAAATGTCGGGAATAAGGGAACCCACTAGCCAAACTTGATGCAAAAATCCTCACCCAAAAAACTCCAATCAGACAGATTGATAATTACTGTCATTTCACTTCTTAGTTCCTTTAATGGTGGAAAGGCCAATCCAACATTCTGTAAAGATAATTTTCCTTTTTTGTAAATTGTATAGGGAACTCTAAAACATAGAAATCGAGGATAGGGTAAGACCAATTTGTTCATTCACTCTACAGTTAAAAATTGATTTTAGGCCATTATATAGAGACTACCATCAACAAAGAATGAGACACTAAAGATTCCGTACTTTAAAAAAAAATAAATCTCGTTGAATCAAATACCTTCAAATAGCAGCCAGTAATATCAGAATTTCTGGAGGGGCATTAAAAAAAATTAATTCACAGCTCACAGGAATGAAATCAAGATAACATAATGGATACTGAAATTATGAGGCCCTTGTGTAAGCTTAATAAATCAGCAAGTACAGTAATTACTTCCAAACACAGCACTAGCAACGAAACAAAATTAGCACAGGAGGAAGCAGTGATAAAAGAAGAGACAATGACTGGTAAGCTCGAGGATGTGAAAAAGTTCTAATGCACAACTCACCCCACTAAGTGTTTGAAAACTTGAAGGACAACGAATCATGCGAAAGATGCCGGCTGCGCATCAACAGTTCTCAGTAATTGTAAAGGAACGCAAAATAGGAAAACGAATTATAAGAACCCCAGCATAGATAATAGAAGCTGAAAACAAAAGAAACAGATCATACCTTATTAAAGGTTAAAGATATGAATTGCGCTAAGCATTCGAATAACTGAGTCCATTTGCGCTTCCCCTGACGCGGTATTAAAACCACGAACTCTGGTTATGCTATTAGTCGTGACTTTGTTGCGCTCGGAAATAAATTTAAATGCATTTCTATCCTGTTGTCTCCCGTACAGAACTTATTTCCTTGCAGCTCTGTACCCCTGGTAACCAGCCACTAGACTTCTTTTCTGATAAATAAAAATTGCCAGCTCTAACAAAGCACTTGACCGATACCCGAACCAACGTATTAAAATGAGAGCACAAAAAAATGGAGAGCAACCACTAAAACCGCGTATGTAGGGTATTCTAAGTATCAGAATTTCTGATTTCAATAACATCAACAATAGCACCGGAAAGCGTGTGACCGTGTAGGCAGAAGATCACGGGGAAAGTGAACGTCCATTCGCCTTTGTCCTTTTTTTTCCCCCAGAGCCTTTGTCCTGAATCGACAAGATCAACAACAGCATTAGCAAAGCAGTTCGCGAATGACAGCCAACCAAGGTGGCGAGAAGATCGAAGCCTGAAGGGGAGCTGCTCAACTTGTTTTTTTTTTTCGGCCACCGTTCTCCTTGAGGTTGCGTGCGATGACAGGCGTTGGGCTCGTTCTTTGCATATGACTAGCCCAACTTAAGGAGTGCCATACATGACTGGAGAATTTCGCCTAAGGATTATGCTTACAGCTTTCTCCATGACTCCATCCGTTCCTATTTATAAAATATTTTTTAAAAATAAATTTTTATTTAAAATATAAGATACTTTATAATAATTAAATTATTTTTTTAATTTTATCCATTCTTAATTAATATAAAAATATTTAATATAAATATATTGGTATTCAAAGCTAAAAGTAAAAATAAAAGTACATCTCACTTTTTCTATTATATTGAGAAAAAAAAACTAAGTGTTCTTAATATATGTGAAATAGTTAAAAATATCCTATAATAAAGATCAAAAAGAGTAATTGTTAGTGAGTTTTAAAAAAAAATTCAATTCAGTTTAAAGAATTAAAGTCAAAATAATTTTAAAAGTTCAAAAATTAAAATATTATTCACTTGTTAATTTTGTGTGAGATACGTGATCATTAATTGTTAATTTTTTATTTTACTTATTAATTTATCAATATAAGTTTTAAATTACATTAGTTTGTTAAATATGAAACAAGATCATTTATTAATTTACTAATTTTACTTATTAATTTATTAATATTAATTATAAATTATAAGACCTGTCAATGATTTATAATTGATATTCAAAAATTAACAAATAAAATTAGGAAATTAAAAACTGATATTATTACTTATAATTGAATAAATAATGTTCAAGTATTGCATGATTATTAACAAATCAGGTTATATAATTTATAATTCATATTGAAAATTGACAAATGAAGAAAAAAATCAACAATTAATAATTTTACATATAAGATAAAATTAACAGTGAAAGGTATTTTAACCTTTTCACCATTGAAATTATTTCCACTTCGACCTACTTGAATTGAACTGGAAGTTTTTTTTTTAATTCATTAATACTTAAGTTTCATCTTTAACCTTTAATTAAAATTTTCTCAAATCACCTTTATTTTCAGCCTAGAAAAAAAAAATCTATTATATATATAATATAAAAATAACAAGCGCTTTTCCAAGTTTGATACCTAAGCATTTTATAAAATACTGTAATTCTAGACTAACCGCGTTACCATTAATTCTTAAAAATATTTTTTTAAAAAATAATATCAACGTCATGTCTAAAATTGATCAAAATTGCTTCCCCTGTTTCGAAATATTCTCTCACGTGATTTTGATCAGGTTTCAAATAATGCAAGCTAGTGAAGTCTTCAATCCTATAAATGATATATACCTAGGTCAATTTGAGACATGCTTATGATGCTCTCCAGGGTGGTTTCACTCACAACTTGCACGCCTCACACGTCTACTCTATGAGGTTGTATGTTATCATTTGAATACTTTTAAAATTAATGATAATTAATCTTTACATTTGATCCATTTCAATAATATTATTTGATTATCTTCAAAACTATAATAACAATATGCGTGTGTGAATATAGTTGTCAAACTCTCAAGTTAACTCTACAAACTTAATATTTTTATGTTTTTAACTTATAAAATCATGCAAATTCACTAATAAATTTTGATTAGATACAAATTTGATTAAACTTATGAATTTACATCTGAGTTATTATTTTATATCTTTAACTATATAAAATCATGTCAACTAATTTATAAACTTGAATTAAATGTAAACTTGTTAAACTTATAAATTTTTTTTAAGTTAAGCGAGTTAAGTATCTACTGAGAAAAATTTAATTTACAAAAGTTATATAACCTGGTTCAAAGAAAAAAGTTCTTAAAATGAAAAAACTAATATTAATAAAAAAACAAAAATACCACAAATAAGTTTTCTTGTTTTAAAATTTCTATGTTTTGTATGATAATTTATTAATTTATATTATTTATATTTTAAATATATTTAAATCAAAATACATTCATATTTTATATTGTAATTATTTAATAATAATTTTTTAATTGTTATTTATTAATAAAATTAAACCTTACGAGTTTAAGATTTGAGTTTACAATACGAATTTACATTCTTATCATGAATTTATTTAAACTCATAAATTTAATAACCTTATATGTGAGAGTGAGATATTGTACAAGGCAATAACAATATTTCATAATGTATACCAAAGCTGTCTCGTGTGAGAAAGGTAAATTTGAATATGAATTTAACTTAATTTTTAGATGCATATTGTCTTATATGTTGTATTTGTTTAATTCTCATGAGTTTTGAAGTGCTCTTATTTATCTTCTAACATTATTACAAGTGATTATAGCAAATTTTACACAGTCATTTCCACTATCTAGCACACCAGTTTCTAATTATCTTCTATTGTTTTAACTTATACGTGAAGTCATGTAGAATTTTATTTATAACCTAATTTATTCTCATTCCTTCATTTTGTTAATTTTATAATCCATGATCTAACAATTTCTCATTCCATGGTCCCTTTTTTTAGATACATTTAATTATTTAGAGTACTCGACCATTTTTATGTCTAATTATCTATCTATATATACATGGAATACTAATATGTGTGTGTCTGTATTATCTAATCAACTAATGTTATTTTATATACATTTTGTTAATTAACTTATATGCATGGGGTGCATACTAGTTAACTTTTAACAGCAAAATATATATTTAATTATTTAACCTTATATAAAATTTTATTTTAATATCTTTATTTTGGAAAGCATGTTTTTTGTTCTGTAATTTTAATAATATTGTTAGTTTTATTAAAAATAAAGGTTCATATTAAACTTTTAAATGTTGACTAGATAATATTAAATATTGATAAAATATAACCAGCACTCGTAGCAGCAGATCTTGTGGTGCTGGCGTCCCCCACACCCACTGTGTTGCGTTTTATTTTTTCTGATAGTAATGAATGTTAGGCTGTTTGATGACAGCTTAGGCAGTTAGTGCTTTCTTTTCATTCCTGTTTGTTTCCATTAAAAACAAAAAAAATATCATTTGATGCTAAAAATACTAGACTTAAAAAAACTGAAAAAAGTATTTATAGAATTAAATTACTAAACTGAGACTTCATATTAAAATTAGAGGGTACGGAAGGTATTTTTTCCAATTCTAATTGGCTGGGAATATTATCTGTGCATATTCATTATTCAGTATTTTTCCGTGGGGTTGTTGCTCGGTCATTGTTTTTTTTTTTTTTCCGGGCTTAAGATGCCCAGTCATTGTTTAAGTGTCTAGACTCTGTATCTTGGGACATTGTCCGTCGGAACAGTCCGTCCCCTTCCGTTAAACGTTAACTGCTTCCTAAAAAAGCTAGTTTTTAACCCCTGCGCATTAAATTTTTGAAAAGATACCAATAAAAACAATGAGAAAAAAAATAATATCTTTCAAAATGTTTTGAAAAGGTTCAGTTTAATTCATAGTTTTCAAATTGTTAAAGCCAATTCAATTAAGGAAGATAAATAAAGTGCTACTGGGATCTTAAAATGAAACAATGTATGAAAAAAGGGAGCATTAGAGTAAATTACTCATGGCCCTCACAAATTCCCATGACTCAATCTGCGTAAAAAGAAAAAAAAAATCTGCATAAAAAAAAAGAGTGAATCACTCGTGAGAAATAACTTGAAAAAACAATTTATGGATAAAAAAGAGCATTATGTTATGAAATTAATCAAATAGAAAATAAGAAATATGAAGAAGAAATTGATGTAAGAGCATAGATAATTTCTTGTGGATTATTGTATATTTTAATACAAATAATTCATCATATTTATAGAGATGATCTTGCATTAAGGGTTACACAAATAATAATAACAAACAAAAGGATAGTCAATACTTGTGGTGGTAAGACTTTCATGAGAGAAGATGAAAAGGTGAGAGAAATGGACATTCACACTTTTAATATTCATAATACTTTCCCTGGATATCATTAAATGAGAATGTGTTTTGTTAAAAATTTCAATCAAGAAAAACTCAATAAAATAAAAATCTAGTAGGAGAAAAGAGTATATAATTCAGCTATATGTTATCTAACACTTCCTCTTTAAAAATCTTACTAAGAAGACTTAATGAGACAAAAACTTAGTTATGAAGAAAGAGTGCAACACATATTACTCCCTTGATGACAACATCACTTTTAAATCACTATATTTTAAGATAATGTGCTGATTTCTCAAATGTAACTGCTGTCGACATTTTTCAAAACATATATTGCTTGTGGTTGAATCATATTAGCTACATTGTCATCATATATATAATTTTTGAAAAAAAAATTAACACATCGTCAAGATATAATACTTTTCTTATAATATCATATATCTCTTTTAATATCTATTTGTTCACCAGAAACTTAGCCTTGCTAACAACATTATATCATATACAGTATTAACCAACTGTATAAATATTCATGAAATATATGATACTCTAGGACCAATCAAATTAGTATGGTCTTGCGGACAAAATAAATGTAGCATAATAATTTCATAACCACTAGCTATTAAATACTTAATCAGCAAATTGAACATAAATTTGAAATCAAATTCTCATTCTCAAGTTCTTTTGATCAAAACCTTTCATTTTCAATTCATATTTGCAAAGACAATGCGTGCATATTCTTAAACCATCTTAATCCGTACAAGCTTAAGAACTCACACATGTATATGTTAAATGATTTTCTTGGGATTTTTTTTTTATGCTCCTAGCATTTGAAGTCCTTTAAGGATTATCATGTAAATTTCATTGTTTAGCAAGTAATGTGCATAAACTATAATAATATTCAATAGATGCACACCATATTTCAATTTTATGTATTACTAAACAAATGATGTATACAAAAATCCACCACATGATAATATATTTAATTATCGTTATATTTTTGTGAAAATTTTTATTTTCACATAAATTTTCATTTTATCTCACAGTAACTTTACACTTAAGGTATTTTCACTATATAACCGTGATTTTCACACATTGAGAATGAATATGATTTTACTCACATCCAATTTTTTTTTCATTTGGCCAATCTTTTTTTATCTACTTTTCATAAAAAAATTGTATACAAAATTCTCATCTAATTATGTGATATTATTATCAAAATTATTATCAACAACTTTATATTTTTAATTTTATTTTTTCAGTTGTGATATTACTTTTTGAGATCTCTTTATTATTTTCAATACCTTAATCTCTTATGAGACTTTTTAAACCAACCAATCTTGACCTTCTTCTAAAGTGTTTGCCTTCTCAATATAATCATATTAATTATATGCTTATTTTTTACCAATATTTTTATATTAAAAATCAATTATTTAATCTCTCACGCTTCAGCCATGATTTATTTTCATTTATTCTAAACAAAGATTATAAATATCTAATCACATGACCAAGATTATCATGAATGCAATCATTCAATATTGTTTTCCAATATCAAATAATTAATGTCAAATTGACGATCATAGTCTATAATATATTAAAAAGAATTTCAGAATTAATTTTGAAATAAGAACATAGAAAGAATTTCAGAATTAATTGTGAAATAAGAACATAGAAATACAATAGCGCTTTACCAGATCAAAAAATATTCAACATGTATTTTATTAAAATGATGAAGTGAGCCTCAGCGTATCCGCAGCCATGCTGTCCACTGGTGGCTGACGCGTGGTTCTCATCAACCAATTCCATTTGAGTACCGTGCCAAGTTATTGAATTATTACTTTCCATTGAGAGTGAAAGAATAGCTAACCCATCGTCAAATAAACCATTGCACCTCGAATTTCAACGATAAGCAGTAGCGACAACAAGAAATATATAACATAAAGCAAATTTGGAAACGGTCTTCTTTTATCATCATTACTATAAAGGAGAATCCTGATATCAAAGAATTAGAGATCAAATCTTTTTTCTAAAAGCGCAACCTGGGCGAAGAAAGATAACATAAAAACGACATTCTATCCCCGCTTTCTTCTTTAAAATTATTGTCCAGCAAAATGACATTCTATCCGCACCAGCTATGGTTCTAAATCAATCTATTAACTCTTTTGCTAATATTTATTCCTTTTTAGAAAATTTGTAATTTAAAACTTATAGCTCACCTTTTCAGGAGTAGTAAAAATCTTAAAGATTATTTTTTTCATCATAATATTAAAAATAATTAGCATTGCACTTTCTTTCTTGATTGCTCATATATTTCCTTCTATTAAATGCAATGATATTTATTAAATGCAATGATATTTAAAGTACAATCGAATATTAAATATGAATTCATCTTTTAATAAAAATTTAAACTTTGATTCCTCATCTTATGAGAAAATGATTTTTTTTACTAGACCTAACCCCGATGGTAGCATGATATCACACTTTCATAAAATGATCTATGTCATACCGTAGATATCAAATTACAATAATTTATCTGTGCAATTGTCAAAACAATTTCTATGTTACATATCAATACATTTAACCTGGAAATACAATTCAACATAATCAACCTGGATAGTCGATATTGATATAAAATGCAAAATTTATGACAGCATTATGTTCATAGCGTGTCATTTACAAGTCGCGACGAGTGAACTACATCAACGCCAACAAGAAAGAGAAAAGAGAAACAAAAAGGAGAAGAAAATGAACCAAAAAAAAAAAAAATCGTTGTGTTGTATCACGAGATAACCCGAAAAGTTGCCCGGCCTAAAAATTAAAATAATAACCCACTTAGTTAAAATATAATTTCATTGATAGTCTAGTTCAAAGTCAATTTTCCTTTTTGCTTCTCAGATGAGTCTGCCTCACCTAGAAAGAACATCCGGGGCCTTCGCATCTCGTCATGTTTGGACAGTTCATAACAATCCATTCACATTCATCTCGTGAATCATCATAACATTAATTAAATATGTATTTGCAGTCCTAAAAATCAAGCCAAAATTTGAGATACAGAGCATTTGAAATCTAAAAAACTCCAGGTCTATAATTTTTATCCAACTGCCTGCAAAGTACAAACATAAAAGGGGATATATGAAACAGTTAAAACGTTTGCACCCAGTTCCAAGAAAATGATGTTAATTAACTTTTGTTTCATGTTATATATTGATGATTCCCTAAAATTAAAATACAGAGATAATTCTCAACACAAATATACTATGCATGTATCCGGTAACTGCAGAGAAACAGTAGTGAACTGTTGAATTTGCATATATTTTGTTCTGGAGGCCAAGGACCACACGTCTAGCAAGCAAACATTGGCAACAAAGTACCAAAAAAGGAAAAACACACAATGTACTAGAAACATTTGAAATAATTTCGAGCGAAACTAGAAAGGAAAGGAATAATTTGTATGTCTCTAGAAACTTCATGCGATATTAGTGCGGAGAATCCTGATCCACCGTCAAGGAGAACCCCAAGGCAAGGACCGCCAGTTTACTAAAAGAGAAAAGAGAGAACAAGACAGAAGGGACAAGGATTACTAATCGGAGAGGTGGTCTCTGAGCTAAAAGAGAAAAGGAAAAGTTAAATACCAGGAACCATCAATAATGGAGTACGTAGACATTGTATTCCACGACGGCGTCGCCGGTTTTGAGATCAAAGGTGTGGGTCTTGGCCTGAGCGTAGCCACGAGCGAACCGGAAAAGCCCACTACCGCCGACGATCGGCATCTCGCGAACCGTACTGAAAACCTTGTTCCGTCCCAACAAGCTCAGAGTACTACCATTATACTTCCCTTCCATGAACGCAAAGTTCATCACCATCAACAGCCCCACCTCGTCTTGGGCCGCCGACGCGTATATTCCCTGGGCCTTACCCACCAGCTTCGACACCCGCTCCGGCCCCGTCGTCAACGGGTCATCCACCATCGCCACCATTCCGAACGCCGTCAAGGAGGTGTTGGTCATGAGGGCCTCCGCCACCTTCACGGCGGTGGGGTTCCGTCCGCTGACGATGTCGTGGAAGTAGAAGTGAAGGTGGCTCAGCTTCTCCTTACGGAGGCCAAATGAAGATGGAGAGAGAGTCCGAAAGAAACCGGTGGGTTTTGCGGCGATGAGGGATGCAGAGAGGAAAATAAGAGCGAGGCAACTGAGGAGCGTGGAGAGTTTTCTCGCCATTGTTGGAGTTTTTCCGAAAGTCTTGATGAAGATTTCTTCTATTTATTTCTTCTTCGAAATGGGATAAATCTATACGGTGTGTGGATGTGAGAGTGTGTGTGTATTTTACCAGAATCTACGTGGTATATAGAATATTGAAATTGAAATGGAATGAGAGTATGAGATTTTATTAATGTTTTAAAAATCAAACTGAACTAATTAATTCAATAATTGAATTAAAAATCGGCTCTTAATTTTATTTGGTTGATTCTAAATTACTGGCTACAGGAGAACCAATCAATAACCAAAAAGACTAGTTAAAAATTGGATCGATTACCTTAAAAATCAAGCTAAATTAATTAAAAATTTAAAAATTAATTAAAACAAAGAACATCCAAAAACAATTAATATTAATTATATAGTTATCAATAATAAATTATTTTACCAAACATTTATTAATATTTTTTAAAAAATATAAATATTTACATGTATTTCTTATTTAATTATGATATATATAAATTAAAAATATATTAACTTAATATCAATCGATTTAGTCACAATTAAACTAATAAATCATGAATCAATAATTAGTTTGATTTAATGATCATTTCAATTTTTAAAACCTTAAAATTTTATACCAATCATAGAGCGGAGACCTTTGGCGTAATTGGAAAGTATCATTAACGACTTGGATTTACATTGTCAACGTTATTGACCAATAAATAAATAAATAAAGGGCTATTTCTTTAAAAATCACCCAGACCTCATCTGACCACGTGCGAATGAAAATTAGACTCGAGTGAAAATGGAATGCTTTGATTTTGATTTCGGGTAGCGCCAAAATAAGTTTTCCTGTAGATAAATCAAGACAAATATAAATGGCGGTGATTTAATTTCTAGGCATCAGTGCAACGAAGGAAAACATTTTATGCCGAATAAATGGGATAAATTTACAGGCATCATGCACGTACTTGTGGGCCTATGCACATCTAAAAGAACGAAATATCAATGAAATAATATATATGCCAGGGCCCTGGGGGGAGGCATCCTCACATCCGCTGATCTGCTGTCTGCTGCTACTTGTTTGTTAAGAGTTAAGACTAAAACTTGTAAATAAACTGCACGGACAAAAAAAAACTTGCAAATGACAAAAATATATTTTTTAATTAATTCCAGTCGTCGCATAATTGTGTATTAAACTATTAATTATGTGTGCGTGTGTTCTTTTTTCCTGCAGACGTGATTATATAACTGGAGAGGGTTTGTTTCTATCCAGTAACAGTTGCAGGTCAAGGTCAAAAAAAACATAAAAAACATTTTTTTTGGGTGGGGGGTGAGGGCATGGGATGAGAAGCTTGTAGCTAGGGGTAAGAAACAGGCAGATTTGACTCATAGAAATTCAGTTTTTAAACTAAATTTTTTAAAAAAATTTAATTTTTAAAACTCAATCTTTATTTAAAAGACTTAGGGTTGAGCTCATAAATCCTTTGTTATTATTTTTTATTTTTAAATTTTTTAAAAATTAAAAATTTTAATTATAAGATTTTATATATTTTTAAAATACAAATTATAATATAAAAAATTAAAAATACATAATAGAAAATAAAATCTCAAAATATAAACATATATATTAAAGTTGAAATTTAATTTAAAAATAAAATATTTTATTTTTTTAAAATTAAAATGAAAAGTGGCCTAAAAAGGAAGCCCAAACCTTTTTTTTTTTCCGCCTATCGAAACTGGGCTTCAAAACCTAATTTTTTAAAAAAAATAATATTTTTTAAATTCAAACTCTTATAATTAAATAGATGATCCATCAAGTTCGGTTTTTATTTCTAACTTTATTTGTAACTCAAAGCGACAGCAGTGCAGTCATAGACAAAGGGTAAAAAGAAAGAGAAGGATGAGTCAACCAAAGATGCAGACTGGGGCGTCAAAGAAGGAGGACTTGAAAATGCGGATTGCGTGGAAGAAGGCAAGAAGTCATAACAAGAATATCAGATAAACAAACGAAGGTTATTGGGTAGATAATCAAAACATTTAAGCGTGTCGTATAATAAGTCATAGAATTTGTGTAATCACCGGCAAGAACTTGCACGATTCGTTTTTTTTTTTTTTTATCAGCGGGTAGTGTTTAAAGGAGAGTGAAGAAGGAGCCCCCGAAAAAAGGGGAGGAGGAGAAAACAGTACATAAGTGGAAGCAAGGAGGTCGAAAGACCTTGTTTGACGGGGTACTTTGAATCCAAATTCAATCCGCCGTTCAGTTGAAGCCTTGAAGAAGGAATAGTAACAGTCGGGTGGTAACGCTGGCTGTGGGGCCCTTCGAACCACGTTTCAAGTATTGTTTGTGCTAGCTAGATTTTGACGCGTGCAATATTTTTTTACTTGCATGTGGGAATTGTACAAATTTATTTAAGATATTGTTAAGTATTTGTAAGGATTTTTATCATTTAAAGGGTAAGTATAAAATAAAAAAAATGAAAACTTTAAAATAATCTTTTTCCGTGTACTTGTAATATCTTTGAATTTAAGTTTTAAAAATATGTATTCTATTTTAGAATTTTTTTCCCAAATATATTAAAAATATAAATATTAATTTGTTTTTATTTTAAAATATGTTGCTCCCATGATGGATTTAAGAAGGCAGCACCTATATTTGTGTTATTCCTTCAATTGATGCAAGGAGAAACTTTGAAATTATTTTAAAGAATAAATTTCATGTAAAGTTCAATCCCATAATTAATCGAAGGAAAAAATTATTGTCTGGCAGATATTATCAGATTATCGCTATTTACTCTGACTGAGTTTCTAAGCAAAAATCCCTATTTTACAATCTAGTACCTTCATGCATATTAAAAATTATATTTTATCTATTTAAAAATAGAGGACATTTTTAATTAAATTTTATTTCTTAATAAAATAGTTACTTATTTTCAAACTAACTCTATCTTTTCATATTTATTTCTATTAAATACTCTATAATAAATATAAAGTCATTATTAATATAGGCACTTAAAAAAAATGATTACATTTCAAAAGACTAAAAATATCCTACATTTTTAAACATCTAACTCCTTAACATTTTTTAATGGAGAGAGTAAATTTTTTAATTGAGCATACCATGCAAAATAAAATTAGCTTATTTTCTTTAAGAATTTTTTGGTCCATGCATTGTTAAAAAACATATGTTATAATGACACGTACACTATAATATATTTTATAATAATATTTACAAATCATAATTATAGCCAACGGTCCAAAAATACATGAACAGTGATTTTAAATCAAGCAAGTATAATAACCAACATTATAATACTATTTATTAATCACATATATGCTTATAATAGTAAAAACAACGACTAGAAAAAGTTTAGAACTAGGAGGTGTGCAATGAAAAATAAATTCATCAACCTCGTAAGATTAAATTTGAAGTACATGATTGTAATATTTTCAATAGATTCCCAAGTTATAGTGTGCTGGTATATATCAATAGTAAATTTGTCTTCTTACACATATTAAGAACATCGACAACAATTATTTTTATTTTCAGGTGTATTATTTTATAATTTGTTATTTTTGCGTATATGAAAAATATAATAAAAAGTTTGTTATCTTGTGATACGTTATTCTCACATAAATTAAAATTTAAACAACAATATATTCTACTCTATATTTTTTTATTCTGAAATAAAATTACATTTTATAAGTTAAACTTTGAAATTTGTGTATTATTGTACATAAACTAAAATTTAAATAAATGGTTATATTTTAAATTTTTTCTCTATTGAAAACATAAATAATATCCCTGGTATATTACAAATTGGATGTACAATCATCAAAGTTGATATCCATAAATTTCAACGAAATTTTCTATTTTAAATTTTTTTTCATTTTATCATTTTTCATAAAATATAAAATTTTTTATTTCTTTCTTAAAAAGGCACATAGATTTATAGATATTAACTTTAGAGGATTTAAATATTAACAATTATATATATAATTTTTTTACATGTCTATATTAAAAATATAAAAAATAAGTTATTATTTCTAAATATGTCATTCTCGTATAAATTAAAATTTAAAAAATAAAAAATTCTTGTTATTTAACTTTGTATTTTATAGTACAATTTATTATTTTATGCACATACAAAATACAAGCAACAAATAATGTATCTCATACTTATCATCTTTACTATAAATCTTATACCTACTATTTATTTATTTTACTACGAAACCCACGACATTTTGACAAAAAAAATATTTTTTTAAAAAAATTGTTACTCGTCAACAAATTGTAGATGTACGGTAATGATAATATGTAAATCAACAGTACAACAATATGCTTTACACACATATATATCGATAGATCAAAACAAGTTGTTGAATTATTCTATTTATTTTAAGACATTAAAAATATTTTAATTATACTCTTATTATTTTATTTATGTATTTTGTGCAATCTCATCATACCATTTTCAAGTTATAAAAATGCTGTTTAAGTTATAGAAATAAAAATGGAATATCATTTAATATTTCGACTATAACCATTGCACCTTATAAATTGGATAAGTTTCTATTTTTAGAAAGTACCTTGTACATGAAATCAGAGGAAGTCTAAAATTTGAGAAATAAATTATTCACATTAAAAACATAGCTTGTATTAATATATTGAGATTAAATTATATTTTTAGTCCTATAATTTTATATAAAATTTTAATCTAGTCTTTTAAGTTTATAAAGTACTCCCTCTATTAAAAAACATAAGTCATTTTTTAAAGAGTTGGATGTTAAAAAATGTAAGGCATATTTATAGTGACTTTATATTTATTGTAGAGTGTTTAACAAGAATAAATATAAAAAGATAGGGTTAGTTTAAAAAATTAATTAATTTATTAAGGGATAATATTCAGTTAAAAATATCTTATATTTTTAAATGAAAGGAATATTTTTTTAGTTATTTAACCTTAATATCACTGGTTTCATGTGATTCTTTTTTGTATCAGTCATTGCTATTTTAAAAAAAATAAATTTAATACATCAACATTTGATAATATTTTGTTAATACTTGAAA